TCATGCATGTAACATGTGATCGATAAAGCAGTAGTTGTGCTTAACCGGAGCTTCTCTCCCCGATTTGTGCTAATCAGACATTGAACAACCGGCCCTTATTTGAGTACTAAGGGATGGTTGCTCAAAGCCTGATTGACACTAATCACCGATTAACATCGTTATCGACGTTTTCGGCTCCATGCAAATAACGATGTTTAACCGGGGATTAGTGTCAACCAGGCTTTGCGCAACCGGCCCTAAATATGACTATGAATATGCGCCAATGTACTTTTGAGATTCAAATGTACCCAAAATGTACGATGCACATGCAATTGTAGCATGAATTTCATCACTGGGGTCGATAGTATTGGTTTTCATACACAAACCATCGATATATCGATAATATCGTCGATATTTTTCCATTTCTATTAATTTGCAGATTTACATTTTCTTAAACTAAAGGGATCTCAATTTTAGTGTGATAAAAATGTCGTCCGAAAAAGACAAGGAAAAGAACGCTAAAGGAGATTTGGGGCTTTTGGAGGAAGATGATGAATTTGAAGAGTTCCCAGCTGAAGGTGGTTGATTCATATTGTACCTACTTTGTGAAATTTATACATAATAGAATATTTCCAGATTTTAATATTGCTGATGATGACCAAGACGAGATCAACGTGTGGGAAGATAATTGGGATGATGACAATGTCGAAGACGATTTTAATCAACAACTGAAAGTACATTTAGAAAAACAGGCTATGGAAACGTGAACTGCCTATTTTAGCAAACTATCTAGTAAAAGATCAATGATGCAAGCAAATATAGGTCGTAACGTCGTACATAGATGGTAAAAATATTGGAAGTTCGTGTGTGTTTCATTTAAATAAATAGGCTGTATTTTGTTGCTCCGCCCAACAAAATAGCATGAACGTGTTAATTCATTAAAACCCTGATCAGTAAATGAAATAAACGGGAAAATTTTCCAATAATGGATCAGTCTTAAAAAAAGGGGTTGAAAGGCTGCAATTTAGTTTGGCATCCCCGGAGTTCCGCATTAAGGTAGCTATGGAACGATAGAGGGAGTTCTCCTGATTGCAAATATATATACTTTTAGCCGCAGCAGGCTTCTAGTTTTTAAGTTATTTGTTGTTAAAGTTTGTAAATTGAACTAACCTCTCGGCGGTATTTCACACAATAAACACTTTATTTATGTACACCCTCCTCAAAATAGTTACATTAAAACCCCGGCATGAGATTTCCACTTTAATATACAATTCTTAATTAATTAATTATTAAAACGCGTTTATAAATGTTTTCACAAACGTTTGCACATTTCACAAACAAGCAGAAATAACAATGGCTGACAGTAATACAAAATGTATGCTACCATACGTTAAAAAAATACACAAATAAGTGCGTATAATTAGGAAGTATAAGTGTACAATACGTACATATATTGCTCTTATTAAAAATAATAATATTAGGATCGATAGGGGTCTTACTCCTGATCATAACGGTATTATTTTTTTCGGGTGGAAATAATATTTACTGGTGTTATTGTAGTTCAAAGCATGATAAAAACATAGCAAGGTATAACCGTTCTCTCAATTTGTCGGCCATGATTTTTTTTTGAAGTTTGCCAACATTTTAAAATCATTTAAAAGTGAAAATAAAAAATTGAAATTGTACGAAATTGTTGTTGCTTGAGATTGAAAATGAAAATGTGTGTGTGAGTTTGTGAGTAAATTTAAAAATTAAATTGTTTGGAAACGTCAAGAATTTTAAAAGTGACTCTCAGCGGTTCTACCTTACTATATTTTTATCATGGTTCAAAGTACACAAATGTAGAAAACGTACATTGTTAATTTGATAAATAATGAAAATTTTTAATCAAAAATCGCGCGATTTTTTATTACAAATTTTCCATAAAAATCAGTACTTCGATAAATAATGAAAATTTTTAATAAAAAACCGCGCGATTTTTTATTACAAATTTTCGCCTGCAGCGCTCTTTCCATAAAAATCAATAATTCGATAAATAATGAAAATTTTTAATAAAAAATCGCGCGATTTTTTATTACAAAATTTCGCCTGCGGCGCTTTTTCCATAATAATCAATACTTGATAAATAATGAAAATTTTTAATAAAAAATCGCGCGATTTTTTATTACAAATTTTCGCCTGTGGCGCTTTTTCCATAAAAATCAATACTTCGATAAATAATGAAAAAAAATCCAGTAAAAAAACTGTGGTGAAGTCCTTTATGGGGATAAAGTTTCCAGGGGTGAAATTTTAGGTAGCACACAATTTCTTACACTCATGGTTGCTTTTCAGCACTGATGAAAGAAACTTAAGAAATATTTGAAAAAAAGTTCATATAGTACATTAATTTTTGAAGGAAATACCATATAACGTATGTACTCTGGTTAATAATATCAAAAAATGTATTAGAACCACCGTTTAATGTTATATTTGATACAAATTAATATTGCTGCCCCGAACGCTCTGCGCCTTGCCACTGAATAATAGATTTACTTAAAATTACATCCCTGGTCCTTGTTCTTTCTGTATCGCATCGTGGTGAATTCACATTTCTCAGAAATTTGACAACAAAACAAAACAAAGCGAGTATTTTATTTGCTAATTTTTGCGATTTCTATTGTTTAATGTAAATTTGTCTTTTTAGGATATGTCAAGCCAACAAAGAAGGCGCAGTTGGAAAATTATGCCGATAAACAGGATGGAATTTGGGAAAGTAAGTGCATGGTTGCAGCATATCTATGTATAAAAAGTATTTAATTAAATTGTTTATAGAAATGTTATAAATCGAGTGGCTCATTTACGATGTGCTCCAAACATTTGGCGAACTTTTTTTCGCCTTTTCAACGTGCTAAGTAACAAGTTAAGATGACTGCCATCATGGGCCGGTAAGAAACCGCAAGCAAAGGGCAGACAACCTTCCAGGAAGCTGCCTCCTGTCCCCGAGCCGAAGCTGCAGTTCAGCAAATTGCTACCCTGATCAAACACACATGTTACATGCATGATGTCGAAATCGTCGATAGTGTAGTGGTAG